CCTTGGTGACTGGGAGGGTGAAGGTGTCCCTCACAGATGGTGTACGGTTCTGATTTGTGGGGCCCAGGTATGTGCATTAATAAGCCCAAGCAAGGCTGAGCCAACAGGGAGTTATGGAGAAACCAGGCTGGAATACAGGGTCCTTCCTAGAAAAAGTCCAAGCCTCCCTGCTCCAGTGCCATCCAGATCAGTAGGGGGGAGACTGAGGCGTGGATGGAGTTATGGACTTAGGATGCAGTGACCCAGAGGCAGGCCCATGCACAGTGACCTTGGACTTACCTTGGTGAAGGTCCTCTCCTGGAGCTTGCCTGGAGCACCCTGGGCAGAGCTGAAAAGGTTTCACATCTCACAGGCCTTCCAGTCTTGTTTCCTTCCCCCTTGCCTTTTGACCACAAAGAAGTCCTGGGTCTGATTTAAAACTTTGGACAGTAAAGCAAAAAGAGCACAGGCCCGGGAATCAGGCAGATCCTAGATACACACATTTATCTGCCATATGACCTCGGGCAGATTACTCAGCTTCACTGAGCCTGTCTTCTCTGCTGTAAAATGGAGATTAAAATACCTACCTCACAGTGTTGTTGGGGGGATTATGAGAAAACAAAACTCTGAGCACTGGCTGACACTGGGGAGATACGCTCCCTTCCCCTCTAGGCAGCACAGAGATAAATGTGTACACTCACACAGGCACACACACAGCGTTAGAGACACGGACACCCCAAACACAAGAGCACAAACACATCTGGGCATATTCCCCCTCTCCCCAAGGGGAATGAGTGCACAAGCCGATGTCCTGTTCCTATTTGTGGCACAGAGTCTCACTCCTGGGCTGTTCCAAAACATGGTTCCTCCAATACCAAAATTTGTACTCTTCTACCTTTGAATCTCTCAGGCTCCAATCCTTTCTGGGACCCTGAGTGAGTGTATTCCCTTCTGCCCCTCGCTCTCAGCTCCATCCACCATGGCTCTGGCCCCTAACTATCCCACCCTGAACCTCTCCCTGCCTTCCCACCAGATCACTCCTCTCTTACCTCTTGCTGCTCTGGCCGCTGCAGATCTCTTTGGGTTCCTGGGGGCCTGGGTTTAAGGAGCTGAGACAAATCAGAATCCACTGCCACCCACATATCCTAGGCCCTCCCATCAACTGACTAATCCCAAGACACGACATGAAGAATGGGCTCAACAGCTGGAAGAGCTGGAGTCCACCTGTGGCAGCTGTGAGCAGGGTTTGTGGGGTGCAGCCAGGGCCCCAAGGGAAGGGAATGTCATTGCAAGGCAAGGGAGCACAGGGAGGGAGATAGCAAAGTATAAGGAAGGCCTCGCAGCTGAATGTCATTGTGCCGACCTGACCAAGGCTTAGGCTGTGGTTTGGGGGGCCCGTTTCCTAAGGCCTGGCTTCTCCTTGGGGTGAGCACAGCTAAAGCTGAAGATACTCCTGCTGCTGTCAATCCCAACTGCTCCTCCACACCAGCTGGCCAGCCTACTCTTCTAGCACCCTGCCTTTCCTGAAGCTGCTGGGTGGGCCCTACAGCCAAGCTTGAAGGGCCCTGTAGCTGCTAAATCAGCTTACAGGCCAAGCCTCGGTAAATAGGAGCCTTCAATCTAATACCAGCTGTGTGAGGTTTTACTCAAAGTCCTGGTTGGAGACAAGCTGGCTGTGGAATCCTGGAAGGGGTGGAGATGGTAAGAGGCCAAGATCCCAAGGTTTCCAGGCTCTACTTTCAAGGGCTTCAAAATTTTCATGCAGAAGGGTAATTCTGGGAAGCAATGGAGATTTAATTACATCGGACCGATCATCCCATCTACCATCAAGTTGAAGAGCAGGGGTGCCACACCTGCCCACTTCCAACTTCGGCAACTGGTGCAGTGCAAAGTGTGGGTTCTGGAGTCAACCAGGTCTTAATTCTAGTCTCAGGTCTGACACATAGGCACTTAAGCTTTCTGAATCCATTTTCTCATCTGTAGAACAAACCCTATTTAATAATAGCATTTACTGAGCACTTATTATGCACGAGGCACTACTGTAAGCACTTTAACTCACTAAATCTTCACAGCAACTCTGAAAATATTTGCTATTATTATCCATATTTGCAAATAAGCTAATAAGTGGCACTGTCTACTCTCTCTCTTCTTCTTTGCTGACCACTTGACCAGTGTGGGTAAATCTTAACTTGTCTAACTTGGAAATTCCATTCTCCTTGCCAGTGATTGGTCTAAGAATGGAAATGTGACATAATTCTGTACAGTGGGATGCAAGGGGAAACCTAGGGTCTTCTAAAAGAGCTTTCCTCTTTCTTTTCACCTTTGGATATTATGTGCAAATGTGTTGTCTGGAGCTGCTTCAGCTATTTTGTAACCCTGAGGGCAGAAGTCAATAAATTGAAAGCACAACTACTGAGCCTGTGCTCTAGATCCCACGAGCCACAACTACGGAGCCTGTGAGCCACAACTACTGAAGCCCAGGCGCCCAGAGCCTGTGCTCCGCAAAAAGAGAAGCCACCACAATAAGAAGTCTGCGCACCACAACGAAGAGTAGCCCCCACTCGCTGCAACTAGAGAAAGCCTGCGCACAGCAACGAAGACCCAATGCAGAGAAAAATAAATAAATTTATTTTTTTAAAAAAAAGAAACTGAAGCTATGTTATCTCTGGACCTCTCATTTGACAGAAAGTTTCCTTATTTTTTTGACACACTGTACATGTAGTATACATATACTACTACATATATATGTATTAATATACATATATATGTATACATACATACATACACACACACACACACACACACACACACACACACACCTAACTATAGAGAGATTGCATCACTGTGCTTTCAGACACAAGAAGACCTAACTAAGAGTGCCAGCTTACCTGAGGTTCCCAGCTCGTCAGTGTCAGAGCAGAAATTACCCTTCTATAGTGAAGATGAAATGGAGTAATATACATAGACTTCTTTCACTCCTGTGGGCTCCCAAAAGCCATTCCCTAACCCCCAAAGCAATTTGTAGGCTGGTGGCTAGAGTATTTGCATAAATAAATGATTTCTTTTTCTTCACCATTTTCCCTTATGGAGGTACATCACTTCCCAAAAGACCCCCACTGAGGTGAAGATGGTTGGTGATGTGATAGTAGGTACCCTAACATGGTCACTGGCCCTCGAGAATTGTCTCTCACACACACCCTTCTGACTCCCTAGGACCTCTGGGATTCATCACAGGTTCTGGCACTGCTTTAACATGCAGCATGCCTTAGAGTTGGCTGTCCCCTGCCTCCATCTAGGTGTCCAAGGAGCACTGCCCTGGCAGTTTCAGGTCCTGTAAAATGATGACTTAATGCCCATCTTTGTTAGCTTTACAACTCTCAAGTGCACAAGATAAAAAGGAATGGGAGGGGGCTTCCCTGGTGGCGCAGTGGTTGAGAGTCTGCCTGCCAATGCAGGGGACATGAGTTCTAGCTCTGGTCTGGGAGGATCCCACATGCCACAGAGCGACTGGGCCCGTGAGCCACAACTGCTGAGCCTGCGCATCTGTAGCCTGTGCTCCGCAACAAGAGAGGCCGCGACAGTGAGAGGCCCGCGCACCGCGATGAAGAGTGGCCCCCGCTTGCCGCAACTGGAGAAAGCCCTCGCGCAGAAACGAGGACCCAACACAGCCAAAAATAAATTAATTAATTAAAAAAAGGAACGGGAGGGACATCCCTGGTGGTACAGCGGTTAAGAATCTGCCTGCCAATGCAGTGGACACAGGTTCAATTCCTGGTCCAGGAAGTTCCCACATGCTGCAGAGCAACTAAGTCCGTGAGACACAACTACGGAGCCCCCATGCCACAACTACTGAAGCCCACGCGCCCTAGAGCCCGTGCACTCTAGGGCCCACATGCCGCAACTACTGAGCCTGCGTGCTCCAACTACTGAAGCCCGCGCGCCTAGAGCCCGTGCTCCGCAACGAGAAGCCACCGCAATGAGAAGCCCGTGCAACGCAACAAAGAGTAGCTTCCGCTCACCACAACTAGAGAAAGACCACACGCAGCAACAAAGACCCAATGCAGCCAAAAACAAATACAATTTAAAAGAAAAAAAAAGAATGGGGAGTACCTCATGTGGCTCAGCAGGCAGAAGCAGGTATACTCAATACTCTGCCATATTCGATGTGTAAATTCTGAGCATATAATAAAAACTTTAAAAACGTGCATGCCTTGGCACAGGGATACCGGCTCGGTTCTTTGTGGCTGCCTGGAGGGGTGGGATAGGGAGGGTGGGAGGGAGGGAGACAAAGAGGGAAGAGATATGGGAACATATGTATATGTATAACTGATTCACTCTGTTATAAATCAGAAACTAACACACCATTGTAAAGCAATTATACCCCAATAAAGATGTTAAAAAAAAAAAATGTGCATGCCTTTTGAATCAGCACCCTCACTTC